GAGCATCAACACTTTTCTGTACAGGGTCCTGATGTTAAAAAGGCACATGCTCGGAACGCAGGCTGAAAGCCACACAGTCTTAATTTAGCCTCTAGCTTGTATACACATTATAAATATGATCTCTCTACAGACTATCACACTTTTTTCCTATAATAGCTGTTTGTTTTCCAGCTGGTTGCCGTCTCTTTGATTCTACTCAGACTATTTACATGCTTAAATATGTGCACAACTTCTGCAGAGCTGGACCAAGAAAGGGCTGGAGGCTGCCTCCCATGATTTTGAAGGGTGGGTCATTATACTAGACTATAACTGGGCACTTGGGTTAGGTCCTTTAAAGATATTTAAATGACCAACTAGGAAAATACACTTTTTCAAAGTATCCAGGAACCAAACTTGTCCCAGATCAGATATCTGTACTCTTGAAAGTAGTCAGTGTTTAACTTACATCTTTAGGTATCTGAGTAGCTTTAAAAAAGCTTGTCTTTAATGTTTCTTTAGAGTCTGGACTCTATATTAACTATTTGTGAAGTAAAATTCAGTAATAACAGTGAAAATATGCAAAGGAAAAAGAGACAACATTTTAATTCAAGCATTGTGAAAGGGACTTAGATGGGAGGATCAAATGAGAGCTGCTACAACCAAAAAAGTATCAGACACCATTTAAGCAGCATTATTTTAGGACATCAAAGATTATCTTCAGATATTTAAGGTGTGGCTGGAAAAATCTTAGTGCTCACATTACAGTTTGGATGTGCTGGTGTGTTTTTTTTATGGTTGACTATTGAAGTAATGTGCTTTTCAGATTTTATTCTCTTCTTATGAATTGTTCACAGCTGAGAAAATACCTTCAGTCAGCTGAAGCACCCTAAAAATAAAAATAAGGTCTTAAAAATTCTAGTTGACTTTCCCTCAAGTACCTTGTTTCTCTACTCTTAATTTTAGTAAATTCACCTATGATTACACGCGAGAAGATTTATGTTTGCTTTTTAATCCTTCATTTCTTCAATCTCACTTTTTATTATCTCTTTAAGAGAAATGTTTCAGTTTCTATAGAGCACTGTGAGGTTTTTTTCAAGCTGGATCTTGAGATAACATTGTTTTCTAAGTGACAACTAATGAGTAGGCACCTCTATGTAAGACAGGCAGTACTGATGTTTCATGTAAAGATAATTCACTGGCCGACAGCTTTTTCCCCCATTTAAGTTGCTGACTGTGCAGCTATTAGCTGAGCTGGCACATGAAAGCCTGTGGCCAGGCTCTGATCCTTGATCTGGTCACTGAGACAGTGTTTCTTCTCTTGCTCCCAGGAGCAGTCACATAGAATTTCCATTCTCTGTCGTGTTTTTCCAAATTGCACAGATGCTCTTTCTAGCATTACAATTGTATCGTGCATCCTGTATCTGTCTGTACTTCAGGTCTGCTCCCCTCTTGTGCTTGCCCAGCCATTTTTATACAAAAAGGCTTTATTCCTGATTCTGGAGAATGCAGTCAGCTCTGTTCTGAACGGGCATTTGAACACACTTGCGTCCCACTGCAAGGCTTCTCAAGCAACTCGTTCCTCCTAGCCTATTACACGACTCTAGTTTTTGGAGTCCACTTCTGGTCAGATATCTTTCCAAACCTCTGATGGGGAGTGGAAGGGGACCCTGTCCTGCCAACAGAATTGCTGTGCCCCAGTGAACCACTTGTTCCTTAAATTAGTTTATTTTGGACTGTTTATACCAAATGTGCACTTACAAGTTTGGGATACATTGCAACCCTGCAGAAAATTTAAATTTAAAATATTTCAGTCTCTAATTCCAGATTAGGCCCTAAGCATTGTAATACGACATTTACATAATTATTTTCAAAGAATGAGACAAACCTTTAGATAATAATTCCCTGTGCTGTTCTGCACAGAAGTGAAAACCTGATACATTCATGCACAAAAAAGTGACCCAACCCTTTTAAAAACTGATGCATTTTATTTCAGTTTCATTCCATCACTGGCTTCAAAGGATACAAATGGAAAAGATTAATAAATTGTAAATTTCTGCCACAATAGTGATATTGATAAAATGAGTAAAAGTACCTGAAAACCCCGTTCTCGGAATTGCATTGCGCAGACCCTGCCTGCTTGTCTGAATTGCTTGTGTCTTCATGGCTCGTGAGGGTGCTCTCTATATTTTATGAAGTGGGGCACTGCCTCCTGGCCCAAACACCTAGGTTTTCAATTTAAAACAGACAGTTTGGGGGGGCAGAAAAGGGCATGGCTGCTGCTGGAGCTTAGGAGCACTCAGAAGTTGCAAAGTTAGGACAGAGCCCTTATTATTTAGCACAAAAGGGAACATGAAGCGGCTAGCACTGAGATAAGTGCAGGCTTTCCTGAAAAACAAACCCTGAAGCTGTACTTTGGGGTGTTCATCCCACCTTTATCCAGCCTGCACTATGACAAAGATAGACCTCATGAAGTCTGTCTTAGATTTCAATGGTAGGAGTCTTGGAAGATCATGGCTGAAGGATTTCATGGACAAACTCTGCACTAAGCTAGATGGACTACCTGCTGCTCAGGACTACCTACATCACATCATAACACTGTGTTTCTCTAGTGGTCAGATAACAAGATGACTTTGCTGACCAAACATCGTCCTTTCAGAAGCGCAGCCTTCAGCTGTGGATTTTGCTCAAAATAAAGCTGACCCCCCAGGAGGAAGCATATTTCAAAATACAGTCAGTACTACAAGAAGATATAGGCATCATCTATTTCAGGATTTTACACAAGTTACAAATAACTTAGGAAGCTTTTGACATGTGCAAAATTTGTAACCCATTTTATAATCCAAAAATCTAACAGAAGTGAAGTGTCCAGCTACACTTCAAGCCAAGTCTGCCACTGCCCTATATGCACCCTGTGGCTTTTTTCATTTCAGAGTAGTTTTTCAATGTTAGAAGTCTCTCTTTGAATCCATTTTTCATTTTGGTAAAGGAAACTTAGATACAAACATCTGGATATTTTCAAGTATAGTTTTGTGTTTTCTTTCTGTTCCTATTGCTATAGAAAATATTATAGCCATGATTTAGCAGCCTGCGTTGTGCATAGCATAAGGAAGAAAATAAAGAAACAGACAATAAAAGAAAGCAGAAATTTACAAGCCCAGATAAGCAAAGAGGTCCTTAAAACTGGCAGATACTTGTTTTTATGCTTTTATTGTCACTCTCATTTTAGTTATCCTATTTTATGATACCCAGTTAGGGACAATATCTCATTGTTCTAAGCATTGTTCTTATTTATACTGCTGGCATCGGTTTTGGAAAGGTATAAATCTTTCTCTTGAGCATCTCTGCTGCTGAAATAATATGTAACTTGTCTTTTTATGTAATCCAGACTGAGAGAGTTTACTGGAGACAGAGCTTTATCTTCTGCAACTTAACCAGGCAAAGCTTGCTCTGAAACAAGCACACCTGTGGATGCGATTCCAGATCCATGTGGGGTTTCTACACAAGGATGCTGTGGATTTCAGCCTTGATTCTGCAACTCTTACTTATCTCTGCAGCCAGCAGAAGCACTGCTGTAGCCAGCACTGGGACTGGCTTGAGAAGATCCCTGTGGGCTTTGCACCCCCTCCTTTGCTTTAAGGATTTTCTAGTTTTATTTTTTAATATTGCAGTGAATTGCAGTACAGTGCAATTTTCCATTCTTCCACGGTGACTTGTCAGGGGCAGAAAGAAGTCACTAAGGGACCAGCACAATTTGACGGGCACTAGCCCCTGCCTGCACTTCAGAGCAGTCAGATTATCTGCTGACATCTGCAGCAGACAAACTGCACTAGCCAGAGTTTATAACATAAATCTATAACTAACCAGCAACCTGCTCCATTTCTCTCAAAAGTTTAGCTGTTGTTGTTATTGCTGTTGTTGGGGTTTTCACAGGAAAAAGGAAGAAGAGCATGAGTCAAGTGGCTGCAGCATTACAAAACATTCAGTTTTCTGAAAATGTCACACTGATGACATCCTGTATCTCAGTGATGCAAACACTTCTCTGATTAGGGAAGAACATTAACAAACAAGCTAGCTAAGTGGTCAGAAATGCTGTTTATAACATAGAAACCAATGAAACAATACCGAAAGCATGCACAGATTTTTCCAGCTGTCAACCCCTGTGTGTTTCTGAATGAGTGGGCAGTGGTTGGGTGGTGAGGGCAGAGGTGTTGAGGGGGGCACAGTCACACCTCACGGTCTGCACACCTCACCAGAAACTGCTGTGAGGGTGCAAAAATCAAGAGGAGGGAGGAAGGGAGGCAGGAGTGACCTGTCCCCTTGCTACCCCCATCAACGGTGGCACCATGGACCCCCATGTCAGGGCACTGCATCCTGATGGGGCTCGAGACCTTCTGTCCCCTGTCATCTACAGCCATTGTCACACCGATGTCTAAGTGCTTTCCAGCTAAGCCACCTGCTCCTGTGGTTTGCTACTTTTTCCTCCTCCCTGGCTCAAACCAGCCCCAAATACTCAGTTACAGGCTGCCAAGTGAACCAGCCATTTTCCCCATTTGCTGGAGACAGCACTGCTTGGGGTTTGCCTTTTGGGGTCATAAATGCATGCAGCATCCCGCCACACTGGGGGAGAATTACAGCTTGAAAACCAAGGCGCGGAGGGAGGCACTATTGAAATCTGCTTGCTCAACCAACATGAAAAGCAACCTAAAACCTTCCTGCTAACACACATTAAAGAAATTTTGTGCCTGGTTTGTATTTGTATGATGTTTGTCCCCATGACACTGCATGTAGATGAAGATCGCTGGTTGTAAAGTCGGGAATCAAAAAAGTAAATGAGAGTAGATCGCTCACCTACAGCACAAAGGTGCTTCGGCCGAGTTAGTGCTTGAAGAGCAACTTTTTTTTTTTTTTTTTTCTTCTTTCTTTTGCAATCATCACTCGCTTGACAGGCCCAGACGGAATTACATCACTTCCTAAAACCCATCAAAGAGAGTCCATCTCCTGAAGAAATGCAGCTCAGATGCACCCCGGCAGGAAACAGGAAATGTAAATGTTCGGGTGAAGCAGGGAGCCAGCCCAAGCACCCCTCGGGTGGGAGCGCCGCCAAGGCAACATGCGAAAGCAAAACCTCATCGTGCTGCTTTCTGCCTTGTCGCTGGCCGGAGGATCTGCTGGGAACAGTGAGTAAGAAAGCACCTTTCGCCTTCTGAGGTGGGACCGCGTTTCGTGCCTGCAGCGATGGGACCGAGTTGGAGGGCAACACCCTCCAAACTGAGCGCTGGGAGAAGATCTGTGGGGACTTGCTCACCGCTTCTTTTAGCTGTGTTTACCCTTTCTGTTTTCAGCTGCCTGACTTTGTCAAAGCTTTGTCTTTTTTTCCTTAGACCTAACCTCCAACAGCAGCAACTGAATCCTACGGTTCCTATATTTCCTAAACTGAAGGTGTGTAGGAAACTGGAGTTTCCATGCTGGACTGCCAGGCATTTTGCTTCTAACTTTAATTATTTCTTGCACTTTTTCAACCCTACACTCATACTATCAGCATTTAATAGTAAAGGTAAAGACAGCCCTGCTTCCATTCAATGTTGATTTCCGTAGTCCCGGTGCACAGAAACCGGTTTAACAAAAGAACAGCCGGTTCTAGAGACAAATATTTTGAATTCTTGCCTGCAGAACAGTGGTCAGCACCGTGGATTTAGGTCCTGACTTTCTGAAGGGAAGAGCCGCGAGTGGAAAAGCTGCTTGCGACAAAATGTTGAAGCGTTGGGGTATCATTGCAGAGGCTCTCACCCGTTTGCAAGGGGTAGTGTGTTCCACTGGCATTTGGCAGCCAGCAACTGCGCAAGACAGGCAGCTCTCTTAGTAAAACCTTGCCAGACAGTGCTTATACGCTTTTTGGTGTCAAACAAATTACTGCCAAAGTGCCTCAGGATGGACTGGAAGTGTTTGCTGCCTCTGTGCTGCTATAGCGAGCAAAAGCTCTTCAGAAAGAAGGGAGAGACGACGGTCACTCAGCTATTACTGGACTTCTTCAGATTTTAAAATGCACTGGTGAAACAGCTGGCTTGGTATGGGCATTTTTTTCACTGAAATCCAGTGGTATAAGGAGGGTGTAAAACTGGGCTGATGGCTCCCAGTGTTCGACCTAACTGCTTGCGGTTAGGAATCTTGCTTAGCTGTAAGAGTGAGCTAAGCAAGGTAGAAAATCATTTGGTCTTGTCTGCGTTACTACAGCCCTACTGTGTTACAGATTACATTAGGAAAATATGCTGCAAAAATTGAACAGAGCTTAGAATCAAAGTGGTTAGAGGAAAAAATTCTGCCATGGACAAAGCAAAACGGAGGTCCCAGGGGAACAGAAGGGCTTGACACAAGCAACGCAGAGTGATCAGGCTCCAGCTTCCTTAGCTCATCTGTGGTATACTGATCGCTAGTATTTCATCACCATCTCCACAGGGTGGAGGGACACCTTAGTTCCCAAATGCCCCCACCCTTCTTTGTGATGGGCATTAAAGGCTGCACAAAGCACCAGACAGATGTCACATACCAGGTGCCCCAACTCCCTCCCCACTGCCTTTAGAGGCTTTCTACTGGTAGGCTCACCTTTAAATTCTGATTGATTTTGAAACAGTTCCTCTGTGGGAGTGAGTCAGTCCTGACAGAGCTCTTCCCGACTTCTGTCAGCCCTGGCTCTCCTGAGCCAGTCCCCAGCTGCTGGGCAAGGGGAGGAGAGCACCTGCCCACAGAAGAGTAGGGATCCTTGCTCCCCATACAAAGGCAGCTTTTGCTTGTGCAACCAGCCCTATAATATACCTTGGGCTTACTCTAACTGCAAGGGTGGGAGGGGGGAAGTTGTGAACTTGGGCCTTGAAGGGGAAATTCAACTGGAGAGGTAAGAGTTTATGCAGGGTCTTATGTACCCCACAGGCACTGGTGGGTTGGAAGCCACTCTGCTGAGGGCAGCCTCCTCAGAGGATCCTTTTCTCTTACCCCTCCTTGCTCAAGATCAATAGGGCAGGACCTTTAAAGGAGCTTTTCCCCTTTTTCCTCCTATCCCAGACAGTCCTCACCTTTCAAGTGGTCTGCTGGAGAAGGGGGGCAGAAGCAATTGGGGATCTCCTAGATCTCACCTTCATTGTCTAGAAACCATTTACAAAACCGGCAATAAGAATATCATTAAATCTTGCAGCATAGAGAGATTGAAGCCTTTATAAGTCCTGCTCCCATACTGTGATGGAAGCCTTGTAAAACCTTTCCATTTGGATGATGATGAACAGATGGTTTTCTCCTAGCTATGCTACAATTACTCTAAGCCAGTAGCCCTAAAAGCATGCCTGAGGTCTCAGCACTGGGTGCTGTCTCTCTCCTGGGTCCACAATGAGTTTGGGGTTTGCACCAGTCCCCCTCCCCTTTCCTAACCCCTTGCTTTGCACAGGCAGAAAACCCTACCTGTGACCTGCTGAGAGCCAGCAGTGGCCCTCCCTGCTCTGGGTGATGGTGCTCACTGCTCAGCCTCTCAGCAACCCTAAAGACCTACTAGGTGTTTTCTGACCCTTGGAACAAGTATTAAGGCCCTTATTATAGCTTATAGGAAAAGGCTCTGACCCTATGGGTATTTCCCAGAGTACACCATCGCCCTCCGTGTTTGATGAAGCATGGGAGATTGCAGTAAGTGGTCTGACATGGAGAGCAAGAAAACGCGTGAGGGAGAGGATCAGTGAAGCGTTAAGATGGTTAAGTGGAAGAGCTGCGATGGTTGCAGGTAGTGCTTTATTTTGGCTGCACTATTGTTCTGAGCTGTCATTCAAAGAAACTTTGCTATCAAATATCCAGATACTCAGCAGCTTGTACCATGAGCACAGGCAGCAACTCTCTTTGGCAGAGGAGTGCCCTTCAGGTATAATCCCCTACAAAGCTGACGTCTCTAAGGGAGTGATATTTTTGATCTGTTCCCCCCTAGAGTAATGAACTTGAGAATGGGTTTGAATCCATCAGAGTCATGTTACAGTTTTCTAGCAAAGCAACAATGTAAGAAATGAGGATGTGCTACGTCCTCTCTTTCTAAAGTGCAAGTCCCTAAAAAGGAGATGAAAACCCCTTTTTGCTGAACACATCAGTTCCTTGTACGTATCCACTCCTATTCCTCCCTTTTATCCGCACACACACTAACTTCCACTGTGTTTTATTCAAGTGCTTCAGGGACATTTCAGAAAATCTCTCCTTTACATCAGCAAGATTGTATACTAAATTTCAGTCAGTGACCCCAGTCTATTTTCCCTTAAGAGATTTTATGATAGCTGGAGAGCTTCTGGAGCTTTTGAATCTTTAATTTCAGAGTCCTCCTGAGAGTAATGAGCACTGAGAGATTTGCATCACAGTGAGGTTGCACGGGTATCATTGATGCAGAGCTAGAAGGCCACGAGATTAATTGGTCTGAAAGACCTTTAGCACTGGGGGTGAGAAATGAGACTACAAGTCCACAGATTGACTCTAAGACGTGCGACTGAATGCGCAACTCCAGCAGTTAATGCAGCACTTCTGCTGGATGGAATTACAGCGAGGAGAAAGCTGTCTCCATCGTCTATAAATGAACTCAAACAGTTGTTTCCTCTTTCAGCTTATACCTAGATAACACTTTCTAAGCACCCCATTTTAATAGGATCTTGTCTACAGATTAGCCATCCTGACATGTTTGTGCTCCCTCATCAGAAGAGCGTATGCACCCAACAGCTAGCCTGCAGGCTTTTAAGGATTCCTCTTCTAGCCAGACTTACAGGCAGGACCTGCCACAACAGGCAGCTGGGCAAGCCCTGGCCACGGCAAGGAACGGCCCTTCTTACAGCAATGTGACGTGCAGGGAGAGGAACAGAACAGGGCTGAGTCAAGCTGTAGGAGAGAGGATCATTTGGACCACGTGAAGTGGTATGACTGTACCACCAGAAGGAATGTGTGTATGGAGCAGAGTGATATAGGATGTGATAACTTTATGCCAGCATATACAGCTTTATAGTCTTTTCTTGTTTTGACACCTTCTCATGAGCCTTCCTTTCACTGCATTTTTATAGTTTATAGGAAAGTTTGGAGAAACAAAAAATTTCCTTTCAAACTAATAAGTTCAACTATCCCACTGACTTAGCTCTTGCTTTCCCTCTATCTGATCACTTTTTCTTCTGTAAGTAGGTACTATAGTGTAATTTGAAAAATTCCCTTCAGAGACCCCAATCCTCCAGTCTGATGAGAAGACAGCAGAGAGACCGATGATTTACAGCAGAACCAAATGTGCTGACTGTTGGCTATTTTCCTTTGCCTCACATCCAGCTGAAATCAGAAACCTGTTTTCCCACTTCATCAAGAAACTCCTATCGCCACCTCCGAGTGCTACAGCACAAACTTCAGAGGAAGAAATGCTGCAACAGAAATGTTGGTTGGTTGAAATGCAGCTGTTTGGCCTCCAGTCTGCAAAACTGCTCAGTACATTCAACTCCCCCCATTTCCCTTGAAAGGCAAGCTTGGGAGTACCTCCAAAACTCACACAAAGTTCATCAGTAGCCCGAGTATATTTTTAAAGTAGAAAACACTCAATAATACCTTAGCGTGGTATCTGCACACAGGGATGTAGTCTTTTTGTAATTCGTAAGAACTGTAATAGAACCTTTTTTGAGCTTCTGCTAGTGCTTGCTCAGGCATTTTGGTCCCCTAAGGACTAGATCCTAGAATGCCTCAGTGGTGGGAACCTGAAGACTTCTTAGGTTCCAGTTCCAACTGTGCCCAGCTCCCCATCAGGGTGGGACACAGCTGCATGCCAGCCCCTCTCCTTTCTGCTCTTGAAAGCATGGAGAATGGCAATATGGGCTGGGCTGCAGCTGTGGCATGCTCCCATCCACTTCCCTCAACATTGGGAGAAGCTGTGAGCGCTCATGCCCCAGGCAGTCCAGACAAGGCTGGAGTCAATGCTGTTGTGTGAGCACCTGCTCCTTGGCCGAGATGTGCAGAGGGCTGAGGACAGATGTCAGACCATAGCCAACAGCATGAGGCCGAGCTTGGCAAGAGGAAGGGCACAGACTTTGCAAAGTCAAGGAGCTATCTACATGGTCAGATGTGACTTGCTCCTTGTTCCACTGTTTTGGCCTTGGTTTTCAGTCCTGAATATGTGTTACATTGTTATGTTACAGTCAGACTCCCTTTTGGAGAGAGCTTATAGATCTCTGCAAGATGAAACCCAAGCACAGCTGATAAGACAGTTCATAGTATGAATGACCACCACAAACCTGGCTCCCTCCAGACATGGAGAAAATGTTTGAATAGCATCTCACGTAGTCTCTCACTTCCAGATGCTCTCCTGCCCTGCTCCAAACCTTGCAACATCCATTTCAGTCACCCTACAGAACAGCCACTGAGGCCAACTGCACAGCCTTCTCACTATTTTGAGCACTTTAAACTGGAACATTAAAAAAACCAATTACTACCTTGGGGCCAACCACATGGGTCTCACATGGCCTGGGCAGCTGGCTGGGCACTGCACCTGCACTGGGAGGCCTGAGATCATCCCTCCCCACCAGGCTGAAGGTAAAAATCTTTCCTTAGTGCAAGCTACCAGGCCCACCCAGGTGCAGACTGTGATTTTTCTACCATGTTAAAAATGTGCTGTGTGGGTGGCCCAAGAGCAAGAGCAGCCCCTGTGTGACAGGTAGGACAACCCTCAGGTCTGAGCTCTGGTCCTCACAGGGGATGGGCAGAAGAGCTGGAGGGATATATGTTGAGGCAGAAGGTGAAACACAGGAAATAAGAGCAATATTCTTGCAAGAACATTGTGCAATTGGCTGCCTTTCTGCTGAAAGATGTATTTAATTCAGTCAGAGAAAAGATCTCTGTAAGAGGAAATGGTGTTCACAGAAGAGGTGTTGTTTTGTTCCTGAAATTATGAAAAGTGAACAAAAACACATGGCAGCAAGGTCACTCCCTGTGATTTGCCATTTTCTTTGCCTAGAGACTAGAAAAGGTAATTCTATTTCACACAGAGACAAATGATCTGAAATCTGCTTCATAACTCAAAAACAAGCAAATAAAAAGTACCAGAGACATTGGAAAAGCCTCTCTTGGAAATCAAGCACAGCATATGATGCAGCTGAAAGTTTAGCACTGCAGTTAATGAGGTGTGAGTTTCCGTTTCTTTAAAGTCACACCATGCTTTAGACATTCGAATAATCCCTTTTAGCTCTAAGAGTAAATGAAAAATAAGGTATTTTCCCCGCACCCTTTCCCATTTGTACTATTTTAAGCCATGGGCTTGTCTGTGTCAATATATCAAATGCAGCAGCTGACAGGTTTCAAGGCTGATGGCTAGAGGAGGAAAATGAAGCAAGGTCACCAAAGCAGTTTGGTGAGGCTATGGTGGTCTATTGGCTCCGTCAGCAACGTGGTCCATCATGCCGTGGTCCGTGGCGCAGACATCTCTAGTGATACCTCACAGCTCTGTGCAGCAGCAATCAAAATGGAGTGGCTGCAGGCACCAACGACTACAAACTACCTTGGGAAAGAAAAGTCAAGTGGCCAAACTAATATAGGAGAGGAGCTCTCCCTCCCATCCTCTGTGACAGGATTAAGGACAGCCAGCAGATCATGGGACAGGGTTGAGGAGCACACACATAAGGGGTCATTACCTGGAAGGGAGGCAGAGATCATGTTTTGCTCTTGACTGAAAGACTAAATACAGGAGAAAGCAACAGAAAGACTATCAATACAAAGTGCTTTGCCACTGAAGAGCTAACATTTTCATTGTTATATTGTGGTGAAAAAATCTGGTGACCTCTGCAGTGTTAAATACTCTATTCAATTATTAGGTATTAAATTATTATTTATTAAGTATTAAAATTATTTCCTAGTTTTTAGGAAAGGATGAAACAGGTGCCTGAGTGATAAACATTACATAAAAATCTAGATAAATCACTGTTGTCATACTTAAATAATTTTATTTATTTGAAATTGGGTTTTCTGGAATACAGTCTCATGAGATACTCATCTCTTTGAGACAAATCTGACAGGAGAGGAGATGCTGCAGAGTGGATTAAGCAAGAGATAGTGCTGTAATCCCAGTTTCCCTCTCTCACTTGGCATCTCTGAGAAGGACAGCATCCCTGTCCTTCCGATTTTTCATTTGTAAAATGGAAATGATAACTGCTCATCTCTCAGGGCCATTATGAAGATTAATGTGTTTACAAAAGCATTTAAAATGTTAAGTACTTTTGGTTCCAGTCCTGTGAGATTGGAAATGCCAGCACTGAGGTGCTGAAAAGCTTAAGCTCTTGTTAACTCTAGTGGAAAATATGGCTGCCCAGCATTTTACAAGAACAGGGAGAAACATGTCATTGCAAAAGTCATGAAATCCTGTCCTGCTTCACTGCATAAAATGAGAGCTGCACCATGATATCTGAAAGGGCAGGTAACATGAAAAATCATCACTTAATTTCATGCTAAGAAAATTGCTGAAGGCTTTGTATTTGGAAACAGGCTGGTGTAGTTTATCTAAGGGCTGATTCCTGCACCTTTGGCTACACAACAGGATTTTTGGCATCGGTATAGAATACAGTATCAGCCCAGAATTTGCTGTACTTCTCTTAAGCTTTAAACTGTGACAGCCAACAGACTCTTAATTAGCCTCTAAAAAAAGCTTGTTTTACTATTACGATAGCAAATGTTAGCCACTTTTCTTACAAAATGCATGATAAATTAAACCAAAACCCAAACCAAGGTTCAAAACTCCCCAGTCTTAGCATTTATGAAGAATAACCAGCACTGACTCTTTACCATACACTCCTTCAGCCAGCCCATATGATCAGAGCAGCAGTTAATTGCATCTGTATCCAGTAAAGTCCCGGTGTTAGTATACTACCTTTTCTAGTCCATGCAGAAGTGAAAATCAGCAGCTTCTGCAGGCTTCAGACTTCCTTTCACCAGTTCTGTTTTTCACAGTGAAGCAAATTTAACAAATCTGAGAAAGCACAGAAGCCAGGAGATGAGTGAGCTGGAGGAATTTGTGAACCAGGGATAATGATCTCCCTGAAGGGAGTGCTAACTCCCTGTGTAAAGGGAGGGATGAAAGATGTGGCTGCACACACCAAGACTGGGGAGCAAAGCAGGATGGGGTGGTTTACTGAGAAGCAGAAGACTTTTATGTGAGCATGACACCGGATGCCAACCTGCAGGAAGAAAGTCTGTTTGTGCAAGACAGCTGCATGTAGTCAGACCACGCGTGCTGACTGCCCCAGTAAAAGCCACCTGAAGAACATGGGTCAGGACTGGTAAGATTTTGTAACAAATTTGCCATCTAATTTTACATCCGATGCCCAAGACTTCAAAATCTCTGTATATGGGGCATCTGCTGATTTCATTTATGACATCAAATGAAAAGTAAATATTAAAGCTGTACGCTTTTGACTCACTGATGATACCAACAAAATCCATAAAATGCTAAGTTGTCCTTGTATATTTGGCAGGTGCTGAAAATGGTGGTTCAGGAGATGGATTGCTGATATTACCCACCGTTACAGTAGCGCCTCCTCCTGCTACTCATTCTTCGACCATGGATGACCATGAGCCAGTACTTGTCACTGCAAGTGCTACTGAAAGCAGCTTTGAAACAAAAAGTATTCCAAGTACTGAATTGAATGCTGTGAACAATCAGGACAGCCTAGAAGCAGCAGAACAGTCTATCTTGATATACGTTATCCCCGTCGCACTGCTTATCCTGCTGATTTTGCCGATCATATTTTTCATAATACATCATAAAAGGAAAAAGTCTAAGCAAGGTAAATTCATCTTCTCATGCATCAGGAGGATATTTTTAGAGTGTGCTTGACATTAACAAAACATTGTTTAGAGGCCTGATATGCCACATTTAGGATGTACTTCTCTGCTTGTAGTTGCACATTTGACAGGTAGGAAAGAGATCTACCCCTGGCCAGGGTATCCAGGCACTCACTTCTCCTTAAGCAGGAGCTAGTTCTGCTTCTGGGCATCTCCTGCTCACACTGCACACCCACCACCCATAGGAGCACAGCACTGAGCTCCAGCTCCTGGCAACACCGAGAACAATGTATGGATGTAACTGTGCGGCTGCAAATGCTTATTCTGTCTTTATACTTAATAACTTCATGCAAGGTTAATTTAATGCTTCTATTGCCTATACTGCCAACAAGGTAAAGCTGCTCAGAGCTTCAATAAAATAATTTTGAGGAACAGTTTTAAGGGATCTTGTAGGGTGGTGGCAACTATGAAGATATCACAGTAAATGAGCTAGGAATCCCATGGTTAGACTGTCTGGGTGCTGCCACAGGGAGAGTAGTGCTTCAGGAAGGTACCTTGAACTGTTAACAGAGAAATTGGTAACTTGTATTGTCAAGCCACAGGAAAAAAACCTGAGGTGTCATATTAAAACCATGCAGTTGGTAAGTGAAGTCCTGAAATGGTCATGACAGTGTGTCTGCAGAACAAGAGCGCAGCTGCAAGCTCCTCAGTCTGTAGACAGTGACAGTTTCAACAGATTTTAAGTCCATTTTTCAATGCATTTTTAGGCTGCACCTGCCTTACCACTGGGTCACCCTCATAGCAAACTGAATTCACAACTAGGCACCTAGTTGTCTGCCTGTTTCTGGATGACCTGAAACGCAGGTACACTTTTCAGAGGGATGGGAAATGTGGTACCTTGCAGGAGCACAATCCTGGGATCTCTTGCCCTGTGCTGGTTGCTTGAAGCTGGGATTTTGGACATCCTCAAGGCAGGGGCAGATAGCTCTGCAGCCCTGGGGTGGCTATGCAGTCAGGGAATGTGCTGGAACAAGTGGGAGGTGTCAGCACCGATTGGCACCAATGAATTAAAAATAAGCTAATTTAAGACAGTATACAACGTGAATCCTATATTTAGTTCTTCATTCTTGATTGAGGGCTGAGGCTTTTCAGTCACTTGATTCTTGGAGGGGGAGTTCTGAATAATGACTATCACTATTTTTTTTGTTTCCACATCTTTACTTTGTCTTGGGGTCATAATTAGCTTTGAATCCCTTTTGACATCTGGCTAATTCACTTTCATTTGCCTGAGATTTAATCTGTCATGCAAGTCTATCCTCCCCTTCTTCTCTCTATAAGCAGCTCCCAGAGTCTCCAGGCAGAGCTGGATTGCCTGTGTGTAGTCTGCAGCAAAATGTCCTGATGCTTCCAGTAAACAAATTATTGCAGCAGTGGTTCCTTTTCAGGATACCATTTCTCTCACAACATCTTTTTTGCTCAGGGAAGTGTGCATCTGCCATTTACTGCCCACTGTGGCACTAACAGCCAGTTTTCTCCCATCACAGCTGAGCTAATAATGAGCTGCTCTTAATATATTCAAGACTAAAAATAATGGGCTCCTCTGAAAATTACAAACAGGATGAGATGTTTTGTCTTTCATCCACTAGTTAACTATTATGCCTTTTGAAAATGCAGCCTGTTTTACATGACGTTGTTCAAGGCTTGCTTGAACAACAAGGTCTGGACCCTGTATATACAAAGAGCAGAACTATGAACACCAACTTTTTTCTTTTTCAGATGAGCTGGGAAGTGAAAATGTGAAAAGGTAAAGTTTGTGAAGATTTTTTTTTTTTTATTCTTTTACTCTAATGGGATATTATGATTTTCGGCTCTGCCACTACCTGTTTTAATTTATCTGTACACTAAACACCATTACCTTTTGCCATCAATTGCTCCAGTTAACTATCTCTAGAGTTGGCTAAAGTGTGGCTTCAGTATCTGGCTGAAGACACAGGACTAGAGCAGAAGAACAGGAGTTAGGGTGGCAGAGGTGAGTACTGCCTTACAGGCACCCACCGCCCACAGCCGCCCCTATGCCTGTTCTAGGCACCCCCGGCTCCACTAGCTAGAAGATGCCAGTAGACATACCAGGTGCCCCATGAGCAAAGGGGATCAGTTCCCAGGCTCATCACCAACTTTTACTATTCAGAATAAACTCTGTGTCTTGCTCCCCTGTTTTTCAAGTTTGTCTTCTCACCTTGAGGTGAGGCAGAAAGGCTCGCCCAGCTGCTCTGGAAGGAATGCCTTAGCTCCTGGGAAAACAAGCCAAAAGCTGCATGGCTCTGATAAGAGTGATAATTTTTATCATTACCTTTTATTGAGTGCCATCCTGCTAATCAATGCTAGAAGCTGGAATTGGCTTCACTGCGAAAAAAAGGGGGTTTTGCTAAAACTATTTTTTCTACCATGTGACTCCAGGAATAATCAGCAAAGGGCAACTAAACAGAGGCATTTACATAAATGCAGAGTTACTCTACTCATGACCTTTCCTTTTAAAGTCACTGCCAATGCCATTCACAGCTAGGACGAAACTTTAAGCCCTCTGCTTTTATCACTGGAGCAACGGGACTTCTGCCATGTGTTTCAGCAGGGCAGAGAGAAACAATTTTATTTTTCAGTTTTCTATTTACAGTTGGGACAGTTCTCAAATAACTGCAGTGGTCCTGTGCTCTGGCATACCCCTTACCACACGGCCCGAGTCCTTCTGCATGTGATGTCCCCGGCAGCCCTACCTCTGCCCAGGACCAGCATCTCACCACTGCTCCTTCACAGCCATTTGCAGCTGTTTCATTCACACCCATTGGGCTGACATCTTCTCAGATTACTAGGCTAGGATAGCTTTCCAGAGTTTATACATGTGTCTGGAATTATGAAAGACTCACACAAATTTTCTACATTGTAAGTTGTTTAAATCAAGCATTTTGTGTAATGCCTTTTTTCCCTCCTCTCAAGTCCTATTTTTGAAGAAGACACGCCCTCTGTTATGGAGATAGAAATGGAAGAGCTTGATAAATGGATGAACAGCATGAATAAAAATGGTATACGGTAACCCTTCTACTCCATCATCCCTCTCTTTCTGGCTGACGTAGATCCCATGCGTAGAAAATCAATGTCAGGCATTTTGTATGTGTGTCACTGCTTTTCCTACAACATTTTTAGTTGTGCTCTTGACTCCCTGCTACTAAAATAGCAGCACAAATGTCAGGGGTAGAATTGTTCAGAGGACTATTTTAGTTTGTGTGGGAGCTTATTTTTAACATATGATAAAATATCATAAATGTTTTGAGTTTCCAGTAGACACTTCTATTAAACACATATATAGCTGTGAACAGCATTTATATTTTTAAATACACATTTTTAATGCTAAGTACTAGTTTCTCTGAAGCATCTAGTCCTTTCAGTCTTCAGATTTTCTACAGTTCTGTGTTCCACATTGTGCTACCGTAGAAGAAACATGCATTTACTTATAGTTCAGACCATCATTTACTTAAAATTGCTGTCAGGATCCTATGAATATATCCTTCTTCTCTCTGCACCCTTTCTGTGGCTTGCCATCTCTACGACATGAAGCACAAGCTGCTCTTAGCTGCCAGCACCACTCTCCATCTACATCTTCTCTGGCAAGTCTGTCAGCCCATGGAGCAATTAGTACCTGTGGTAACTACCAACAGCAGCATCTTCAGTTCCTTCTTAGCTACTTCTAATTTTTCTTAGCTACTTCTGATTTATGGTTGGACTAGATGATCTTCAAGGTCCTTTCCAACCTAGATGATTCTGTGATCTTGTGGGTTTTTCCCCCCTCATTTTCCTCCCAGTCAATCTCCCACTCAAAATCTCTAAGGGCCCTAATCCTCCTTCAAGGCTTTCAAAAAATGCAAGTCTTCAGTAATGTATGAATTAACCAAGGCCTGATTTTGAACTTCTAACAGCTTTTCACTGGCTAGGAAATGCTGAAACCCTGATATTTTTTTAATTCCTGGTCCCTTGCTTTATATTCAAATGTCTCATTTGCCTGACCTCTTAGGAGGCTTTGTTTTTCAGGACATAAAACTCTTTGGAGCATTTCTTTGCATCAGCACAGTGCTCCACATGATGGGGTTTTGACCTTCGCGGTCCATAAGCTCTAGCAGAAAACATATGCTAAGCAGCAGTAGTAAAATAGAGACATTAAGTATAGTACATGGGGAAATAGTGCTGTAAAAAATATTTTTTAAAATTCTGTGGACAGAAGGGAGACAATAGTTTATATATAGGGTTTTTTTTATTAGTGTTCCCTAAACCCCAGCCAGACTATAAAGCATATAGGTGCAACTAGAAGCAGTGGAAGATTGATAATCCTCCCTGTGTAGTTTATAGGAATCAGTCCTTAAAAGTAACTCATTTGTTTAAGTGTACATAAACACTGAAATATATATAATAGAAATTATGGCCACACGTATCAGAAGAAAAGAGGATTTAAGACATGTAACATTTATCCTATTGGGGACCATCCAGACTTTACAGATAAAAGGGTGCAAATGAGCATCTGCAGCTTTACATTCTAGAGAGACTGCACAATAAAAAGTTGAAGAACTTCAAGAGTAACTATAGTCTGATTTCTTATTCTTTTCAGCTGACTGTGAATGTTTGCCTACTGTAAGAGAAGAAGAAAAAGAATCAATTGCCAACCCAAGGTACTTTTAATTCGTGGTATTATTTGAAGAAATATGGTCAATGTAATTCCAAAATAATATCATTTTTTAATATGTAATTAATGAGTGATTGTTCAGTCTATTTAAGTTTTAAAGCTTTTTTATGTAGGGACTTTGATTTCAACTTAAACAAGAGGTTTGACGTTCTTATTTCTAAACTGGTCTCTGCACATAAATTGCACCACTAAATAACCTTGTGGTTGTAAACCTGTGCAAGACAGACAACCAGATGGCACAGATGGAGTTCCACTCACTTATCAGACTTTAATCACAGTTTCCCAAGGTGTTGACACAAGCATTCAGCATAGCTTCCTTGACACTCCTCATCAGCACAGAGACCCATCTCCCCTCAGCCCCCACGTACCCATCAGTCCCTGAGAGCCCCTGCCAGACAGGGGCTTGCCTGACTCCAAGAGAAACCCGAAGGATTTCCTGATGCTCCCATACAGTTCTGCCCTGGAGCTGCCACTAGCTCACAGTCCAAACAGATCCCAGAAAGATGGAAAACCACAGCCCTGGCAGCTTATAAACTTAAAAACATCCTGGATGCTTTCCTCAGGATTTTGACCAGAACCCCTAAACCCTTCTCAAACTCCGATTTTCCCTAATTAAAAATTCTGGTTCCAGCTGGAAGCAAGGGGCTGTACATTGCCCTTGCCTGCACACTTGTGTCACAGCTGCATTTTGAGGAGTGTGCAAAGCAGCTCCTCTGTGCCGGGTTATGATAACAAACAATTAAACCATACTGTGTGCCAAGAAAATTCCTGGTGCAGTGGAAGCAGCAGACACAAGCAAGCAAGGCTAGGAGCAGGGAGGGGTGGCAGGAGGGAGACCTAGGTCTTCGCCTTCCCATGGCACCAGGTAACTCAACATGTCTCTCTGATGGAGCTAGACCATCATGATATCCTGGTCCCCTCCTCTTTTCTGAGTTTCCTTGCTCAGGAGTCAAATAGTGGTGGAGTTAAATCACCACTGCTAGAGAGTTTGCAACTCAGTTGCCCCAGTTTCAGGATAGCTTTTAGATGGGGCTGCTCCAGTGCAACTACTTGTATTTAAAAGGTTTCTGCTTATGCCTATTGCAAGAGAACTCATTGCTGTGCTGTGGGGTTTTAGTTTGGTTTTGTGTTTTTTTGGTTGGTTGGTTGGGTTTTTTTTAAACAAATACTTAGATACTAGGTTACAGATGCAACCAAGCACAATGATTTTACCCTGAGCAGTTGAAAAAGATGCTGGATTTCCTAACCATCTGGGTCTTCCCTACCCAGCCTCTAAATGATAACTCAGGGAGGAAAAATTGTTAAGGAGAGGCAGCTCCACAGTGGTTCTCTAAAAGCAGATTTGCTGACCATACCACTGACTATAATAGGCAGTATAGGACAAAGTGTGCTTGAGCCATATGTTAACACCAGCAGAAGTTAATCATACTATAAAAGGCTTTTTAGGCACAATGACACCCTGAGCATTAAGTTTACTTTAACAGTTCATGTTTAGAAAAAAATCGTCATGACCTACCCAGCTTGAGCTGACATTTTAAATACTGTCCTTACTGAAGTGCTGTTGTGGTTTGAGCCCAGAGGATAACTGAGCGCCACGCAGCCACTCACCCCTTCCCCCTCAGGAATGGGAATGAGGATATAAAAAAAGAGACTCTCGGAATCAAGATAAGTACAGAGAGAGATGACTCACCCATTGTTGTCACAGGCAAAAGACAGACTGCTAAGGGGAAGAAAACAAACATCAATTGAATTCAAACACCATCAACAGCAACACTTAACTGGCAGAGTAGGACAGTGAGAAGCATTACCACATCTTAAAAACACCTTCCCCCAAACCTCCCTTCTTCCCAGGCTTAGCTTTGATCCTGATTTCTCTACCTTCTCCCCCCAGGTGGTGCAGGGGGTGGGGAATGGGGGTGTGCAGTCAGTCCTGCCACTTCTTCCTCTTCAGGGAGAGGACTCCTCACATTGTTCCCCTGCTCTGGTGTGGTGTCTTTCTCATAGGAGACAGTTCTCCATGAACTTTCTCCAGCATCAGTCCTTCCTAAGGAATGCATCTTCCTGAGCTGCTCTGGTACAGATTCCTGCCACATGTTGCAATCCTCCCAGCACCAAACTAAACCAGCAGGGGCTTCTTCCCTCAGAGTCCCAGCCTTCTTCAGGTGCAGTCAGCTGCTCTGGCATGGTCCTCCATGGGCTGCAGGTCAGCATCTGCTCCACCAGTGACTTCCATGGTAGCGGAGGGTGGTCCTGCTCTCTCACCACTGGCTACAGGGGTCTCTGCTCCAGCACACCCCCCACCCCGTTCTTCCACTGACCTCGGTGTTTGTACAGGTGTCCTTCTCATAACTCCCACTCCTCAGGTTCCCCTTTCTAAAGATGTTAACGCCAAGACACAGACACCATTGCTAATTGATTTAGCCTTGGCCAGAGGTGGGTCTGACCCACCCAGCTTTGAGAAGCTTCTCACGAGGGGACACTACTGTAGCCCCCTGCCCTGCTACACACACAAACCCTACAAAAGTGCTTTTGTATTGGATTTGCCATAAACCCATCGGAAGGTGGGGTTTTTGCTCCTGATGGGCAAAAGGTATTTTTGGACTACACCCTACCTCAAGTTCCCACCTGTAAAACAGAGATATTGCCACTTCAAAGCACTATATTGAGGCTTCAGCCTTGATATAAAAAAGCAACCCTGTTCAGATAGGTACGCTTCAGTCAGAGTGAAGGTACACGTGTTATTTCAAGTAATATTTTCTTATGACTGGTATCTTAAGATCAGACTGTAGAGAAATTTATGCCTCTAAATTGTAGGAAGGCAAACAAATGTAAATAAAAAGAAGAGATTTATCTTTAAAACCTTCAGAGCTGCTCAGACAAAAGATATAAATTGAATACAAAGTACAAGATTATTAAGTTCAATTTCAGATTCTGAAAAACTGCTTTGTTTGGGCAAATTTCTTCTCAAATGATGATAATTCTTTTTTTAGATTTTATTGATGATATTTCAATGTGGGAAGCATGCATCTCAAGGCCTCACTGAATACAGCTGTCTGAGTGTTGTTTTCCTGCTTCATAAAGATGCTAGGGAAAGTTAATCAAGACCCAAATGTTTTGAACTATGAATTAATTTTGGTAAGATATCATTTGGAAACATTTTAATAATGACATTTTCAGAATGAAAGTTGTTCCGAAACTATTTTTCAGACTAAGTGTCTTTTTAATATAACGTTTTAGAAAGTTTAAAGAAGAGAGCCCTGTGGTGGTAAAATATTTCTAAATGTTTCCCTTAAAACTACTTTTCAAATTTCATTTTACATGAAATTTTGAATCATGCTTCATTCCAAAGTGAAAAGGTATCTGAAGTAGTGGGATTTCCTGGTACATAAAAAAAAAAAAAAAAAAGTTCATTTACATTTATTTCTGCAGTTGAACCTTCTCAGACCAAGACTTGATGCTTTTCCTGACCAAACTCTTAGCTGAATAAGTAATGTCAGAAAGAAAACTATATACAGATAAATAGATGTTTTCAGCGGCTCTTTTGTGCAAAAAAAAAGTAAAAAACCTACAAAGTAGAATGAAACAAAGCTATTATTATGGTAAAAATTTGTACTCATGAGCATCAACGCTGCAGATTTGTGCACAGCAGACAACATATGACAACCCAGGCTTCTTTGTAGGTGGGGGTCATCTGCCTTGTGCATAAGCTAAGTTACAAATATACGTGTGGATATACTTAATTTTTAAATATATGGGGTTTTTTTTAAATATAGCTTGCCTTTAAAACCTAGTGCTGAAATCCTGATTGTGCCTAAGCAGAAAACTATGACATCTCCCCAGCCTCTCTGGGGCTGGGGTTCCCAACCCATCCCACGCATGCAGGAAGGAGCAGGCAGGAGGGTGCAGGGGCAGCAGCCAAGGGTTGATGTTCCTGTAGTGCACAAGTGGGTGCAAGACCAATCTCTTCTCTGGGGACTTTTACTCCCCCAGCAAAACAGAAGCACAGCCTGTCCCCTTCACGGCATTGGTCTTTGTAGGCTGCCAAGTATGATAAAGCAATTGCCCTCTGCTTTATCACACCTCCCAAGGGGATCTTGTTTACCTTAGGCACCTCCTAGTCTTTCTGCCTGAAAAAAAGTGGCTCCTTTTTTGTCGATAGTTGTGGGGAATAAATCAATACAGAAAGAAATATTCCTTTCCCAGGCTGTGCCTCAGTTTGGCAAGGTACTTAAAAAACCATGAAATAGTAAGATTATGAGTGGCCCTTTTAACTTCAGAGGTGATTTAAACCCCTGCTATTAATGCTGGCTGAAATCTAACCAGCCAATAAAAAAACTTGCATTTTTAATGTTGGCACGAACCAAACATTATTAATAAGTGCTAGGGAGCAAGCTAGGTAGGCAGAAATCTGCAGGAAAAGAAATTCCCCTATTACGAGGCCAGATTTAATACTAAAAATTCCATCTGTACGAAGTTATCCTAACCTGTGGAAAGATGTCAACTTGATTACTCAGTCCTCACCTGTGAGCAGGAGACAGGGTGCACTGGGTAGCCACCAACCTACAGAGAAATCAGACCTGCCCTTGCTGCCAGCATCTAGTGCCACAGATGGGATCATTCCCTGCATTGCATGGCTGACACTTTTGTTTTCTGATATGTCTTGCATAGTATTTCCTGCTGAGACAACTAATCCAACAGCACGAACACTAGTATGTTTTTTTTCTTTTCCATGTATACACAGTGATGGTGAATCATGAAGTCAGAACAACAAAGAACTGGTTAAATGGAAGCAGCGCACAAGCAAACAATCTTCCAGATATTGGATGAACTGGATTTAAATGTAATTAATCTCAAAAGGCCAGAGAAGCAAATGCTTTTGTTGTGTCCTGATACATAGCGCCTTCAGGAAGGAAACATCACCAAGGGGAAGAAAAAAAAGAAGCACTATAGTAAGATTAGGAGCTGATATAAAGTCCCTCTGCAATGACATTCACCACAAATGAAGAGAAGCCTCTTTTTCCCCCCGAAAGTTCTCAAAATAGTCTGTGTTTCTGTCTGGTTCTTCAGTTGTGCATCATGCAGAACTACTTCTGTTCCAAGTTTGGTGGGTTTCTTTAATTTTTGTGGGTTGGTTGTTATTTAAAAAAAATATTAATAGCATCCATAATTCTGGACTACCCTGGTTTGGTGGATGTGAAGCTAATGCCTATGCAATATTTGTTTTCCTATTTGCTTTTTGGTAATGGTGCACTGATTTGCACAGGGCTTCTGCTGGGGAGGTACCAGACTAGGACTGATAAACCAGCTCTGAGGAGAGACAGAGCAGATGAAAAGTCTCTCAGAGGATTTGACTGAAGTGCCTGCAGCCCAGCGAAGACATGGTCTTTGTAGCATGCCTTTTGGTTTTCAAATTAAAAACATTATTTTGAGATTGCCTTTCAGTTTGTTATTGCCACAGATTAGTACCCTGGGCTAGCTCTCACCATTTAACATTCCTCTCTGCCCAGTGCTGTTCTCTAACCACCATCTATTTTAGGAATATTAAACTTGAAAACATTTCTTATTTAAAAAAAAGGGATTGAGAAATTGAACAATTCAGTACTCACACCAGACACAGTTTAGATGAGTACGTGTTACATGTAACTACTCGGTCAAGGTTTGCAGATGCAGTAAGATTTCTGCTGCTTCTCTTTTTTGAATATTGAGCTTGGAATATCTGAAAGACATTGACTTATAAATGTGCCTGGTCACCATTAATTACAGTGAAAAAATAAGGCTCCTGAAATACCTTAAGGTAGGACTATAGATGCTATAAATCACATCCATTCATTTTAGGTGGAATGTTTCTTATGGATGTCATTTAAATATGTAACACACATATGAAAGTGGATTCTTACCCGGTTCAAAGCTTCGCCGGCCTTATTTAAAATACTAAATTCACATCCTACCATATCTTACATTCTACCCTATCGTATCCTACCTATCCTCACCTTCTATTTAAATATAATTTCTTTCCACTTAATACATGTTTAATATGATCAGTTTTGTTTTGCCTGCAAATATTTCACTAGTGCCTTGTCATGCATAGCTTGGTTAAAGAGAGCAAACACCCCAAGCCTCTGGGATGACAGCTAAGTGTCCCTAACAGCTGACAAATATAGAGTAGGGTTCAGCTTTGTGAGTAACTGAGAATGTGCCAAAATGTAAAAGGATAAAAGTGTTTACAGCTAATATTCATTCATTACTGAATATGACTTGACTTGTAATTTCCCGAAAAAGATTTCTTCATCCTTCCAAAACAATTTATTGCAAAGAGTGGATTTAATACACGAGTGACGGCAAGTCAATTTTCCCTGTGTGGATGATATTTAACTCTGAAAAAAATGGTTTCAGTTCACCTTTCACAACTTTTTATTTTTAGACAAGTTCCTGACAGTAAACTTGTTCTCTAGAATATTGATTTAAAATAATGCAGTCACAAGGGGAAAAAATTAAAGGCTGACATTTAGAAAATTAAAAAACCAGCAGTGGATATTTTCCAGTATTAGCTTTGTGCGCAACCTCTTTCCAACAGACAAAGATGTTATACTCAGACTTCCTATAATTTTCAAAGCAGCAACCTGAAGATGCCCAAAACAGAGAATGTTTTCTTTAACGGTAAAAGATAACAAGATGTATTTTAAGATCATTACCAGCTATGTGGTTGGAGTGCAGTCCGTTTGCAACACTGCTGTACAGCAGTGACTCTCACCCTACCTTGCTCTAGCCCACACCATTCCACATCCAGCAGACACTACCTTCTCCCTGAAGAGAACTGAAGCACAGCTGGGACATGAAGAATTGGATTACTTTATTTTTTTGCTTTTGAAAATTAAGCGACCTCCAAAAGTTATACTATATGGCATAACTCAGTTCTGACCTGCTGATAATCCTGCACCCTGTCCTAGCCACACATCTATGATAGTGCAATGCACTAACTTGGTCTGCTATGGCATTTGGAATATGGCACATGAAAAGAGTCTGTGTTGTGCATACTGTTGGTTTGAGATTTATGTTAATTCTGGATGGTCCTTCTGCAAGATAAAATGCTGTACAGTTTCAAGTAAGTTTCTCAGAGATTGTTTTACCCCCCCCCCTTTTCCCCCCCCCCCCCAAAGATTTAACTGAAGTGAATGTATATTCCATAAACTCATGTTAATAGACTTTAAATCTTATTTCAGAGTTCATGATTAATCAGTCTCTATATGAAGCTTTAAAATCAATTTTGCCCAGAAATAATGTGTAGGTTCAAACTTTATAATTACCCAGGTGATGCCATTTACCCTGTCTAAAATCTGGCATGACAGAACATTTCTTTTCTTCTTCAGGAACTTTCTAAGCATTTAAAAACACCAAATAATGCGTTGGGCATTTCCTTGGCTAATTTTGGATATATATTACCTGGATCTGCTGGTTTTTAAAAGTAGAAATTTTATAATTGACAAGTTACTAGTGGAAAAGACATCATTTCATCAAATCTTGCCTGGCATCAAATCCTGTCCTCCCCACATGACACAGAATAAATGACAAGTAACTTGCATTTCAGTACAGTTAGATTATTTCTAATGGATTCCCTTAGTACTAGGCAAATACAATTTTCAGTATTTCTGTTTTCCTTAAATATTTTTATGTCACTGTTTTTCTTCCCCTCTGAAAAGAAATGCTAGTCTTAAACTATGAAGGGGATCACTCATTCATCTGATACTTCACCCATCTGGTCTCTTTCTTTGTTCTTCATTTTTACATTGCTTTCTGCGTTTGCCACAGTCATTGCTCAGCACCCACTCATTCAGGTTACAGCTGAATCTTTCTGTGGACCCTGGGTTCACAGGCACAGCTCTAGTATAGTTGCTACTTTGGGTCCTCTCTTCTCTCACCTCCTTTGGTATTTCCCTCTTCTGCTTACTTGTGTGCCCCTTGCACTCATTTGTTTTATACTTGTCATCAGTTGCTGGTCATTTCCTTTTACACAGTTTATCTCAATATTTTAATCTCGTACATGGATTGAATTACAGGGGATTTAAATCATTTTACTCCTAAATTAGTACAGCCAAAATGTCAAAATATTATTTTCCCTAAATGATGCAGTCACATTCTCTAATCCACTAAACAAAAAGGACAACCAGACAGCAGATAAGATACTAGCAGATTTTATTATTATTTTATATAATAGAATTATTATTTTAATATTGCCATGCACTACACACGAGCTGACCCATCTCACCATCATCTTGAAACGTCTACCACCAACTCAAGTTGTTAGCCTTCAGCATAATGTGCAAAAAAGCATGCAGGGTCATTTGCACTATGTATTATACTAAAATGTTTAGCAAATGTGATGTCCCCTAAGGAACTGTTACTTCTTCCATTTTCAAGTATTTCAGTAGCTATCCAGAACACTTCAAGACAATTTGACATCTAACTTAGTGTGAGCACTTTTTGTCCTACAGAAGGCAGAAAAGCTGCTGATCCAAAGGGTCTGTTTGAGAATTAAGAACCAACATCTCTCCTACATATGCTAAAAATCAGCATCTTAACAGAGAAAAACTTTTCAATAAAGAAGTAACTCCTCCATAAAGTTATAAACTTAATTAACTGCTGGCAATGCCAGTAACCTTAACACCATAATAGTCCTGCACTTGTAAAACATATAACCCTAACATTAACCTTAGCAAAAAAGTATGTTGTTTTTAGTTTCTAGGTAGTTATAAGTTACAGTTCCATAGATCTGTATTGATCTGAGATAAAAGTAAATTGTTTTACAATGCTAAACCTGATGGAGTGCTATAAAACAACTTTTATTTACTTTCTGTATATGAAATGACTGTATGTGCAACTGTTTTATCATATACCTCTTTCAAATGATTTTGTAATGTAAATATTTTAAAGTCATAATATTGCTTAATTGTATACAAGAGTGAGATTCTAAAGAACTTTTTCTAATAAAGGCTTATAGCAGTTCTTAGTGTCTACATGTTATTTTTCCTATGGTCCTACTAATCCATTTAAATCAATGGGTCCTAACTGTTTGTTACTGATGTTAAGAGTACGCAGGCCTCAGAAGATGTACAAAGATGTATGTGGTATATGTTATTCTGATCAGCTCTCTAAAATTCAGACAAAAGAGCCTAAAGACTAGTGCTTTTTCACATTACAGAAGTGCTTTGGAATTATTTTTACCTAAGGAAAAAAAAAGTTGCTTTATATTTCATTATGTTTTTGTTGGGGATACTCCAGATAGTCTTTATCGGTAGTCAGATTCTGGCTCCAGTGAAATTGGTGAATACCCTTATGATTTCTCCTTGAGTGTCTGTAGCTAGCTATCTTTAATGATCAATCACTTCTCAGGTTATGCCAGTTAAGCACCAAAATGGGAGCTTTGAAACTGATAAAGCTGCTAAAATAATTTTCAGTGGATTTAAGGGAAAAGGAAAAAAACCCACACAATTAAAAAAAAAAAAGATATTCATTTCCAGATAGAGATTTTAAAAAGATTAACAAAGCAGAACATTACTTTCATCCATGCTTACAACAGTTTTGTTAGAGGGGAGCAGCGTGGCCTGGGGGTATCCAGAAAGGTCAAGTGAGTCTTGATTCTACTTAATGCTTTTAATGTACAAACAACCTCACTATAAGCATCATAGCAATGACCAGGCAGAAACTAGTTCTCTCCCTCTCTTGCCTAAACATCACATCAGCAAGAAACTTGTCTTTGGTCTTAAAAAAAAATAAAAATCTGTATTTTGGGGCTACAGTTGCCTAGTTTTCTAAGGAGATGAAAAAGAAGACTTGACTACAGAGCCCCAGGAAGCATTTTGGCACCTTGGGGAGTAACACAGGGTTACTCCCCTATCCTCAGGCACTCGCTCTTGCCCTGTTCTGCCCCTGTTAGTACTGTCCTGATGCCCCACGGACCAGGGGGTATCCAACATGCACTAAAAGGAGGCTGGAAGACATCATGAGGAAACTGATTTGGCAAGGGGAGATGAGATGAGGGATGAGCAAGGGACAAATCCTGCACCAACAACATTATCAACATACATGGAAATGCATCCTGGGCACTAACTCTCTGCTTAGGTTTTAAGAAGGGCTTAAGTCATACTTCCTGTAAATATTAGTGAAAAGAAAATAGTAACAGCATGGCCTGACAATGACAAAGGGCAGCACCAGACACTCTCCTACAGGCTGCTGTGCCTTTCCATTATGTGGATGCTTCAGGTCTGGTGCTGCACTGGGTCAGTTCCCTGGCCTAATTAGTGGGACCTCACATACTGAGGGCTGGGAGTGTTCCCCTGGTACAACAGAAAGCCCCAGCACAGAAGCAGACACTGCAGAGGGGTGCATAGGGTTGGGGACAGGCAGCAGCATCACCCACCTCCGCAGTGCAAAATACAGCCTGGGAGCAGTTGGTTTGTGCCATCATGTAAACAGTTATAAACACGGGGTATTTTGTACCTATGCCAGTGCGATTGCTATTATCTGCTCTATGGGAAATCACCTTTCTCTGCTGAAGAGGACTAAGAGCATACCTGAAATATAACACTAAGAGAAGAACGGTTATAACACATCATGGCTCTGGGAGCAAACTGCACCTCATTTCCACACCCAGGCCCCCAAGCAGCAGCAACACACTGGTACAGAGAGCAACAAGCACACCAACACACTTGCAAATTGGGGATTATTTAAGTAGTGCATTATTACAGCCCAATTTGCACTCTCCTATAGGTTTTTTATTTGTATATTGAAATGCCTGGTTTTATTACCAGATTTTCAATGGTGTTTTTATACCAGCAATGCATAACTGTAGTTTGAGAATTGCCAGAATGGTTCTAGCAACTAGAGAAATAAAAATTGCTAATTTAGGCACCTGAAAGACACAGGAAGCCACTTGATACACACCCAGACAATTTTGGCACAGAGATGAGGTGTCTTTCCCTCATTTTTTAAGATTAGATGTCCCATAACCTTCAAAGAGAAGGTGAACAAAAAAATATATCTAGCTTTTATTCAGCTAATTTTAATTTTGAAAGATAGATATTTTAATAGAAGGATCAGGACATCCTTTAACTAGCTGCTCATTCATGAGAAGGATGACTTTTCTTAAAACCAAACATTTCTAAATAGATATGTTACAGTAGTTTTCGAATTCTACAAAATGTAAGATCACTGAAAATGGAATCCTCAAAGTATTCTGGAAGAAAGTTTTGAACCCAAAGTACTTTATTTACATCAAGTCCAGAAGTGGAGTGAAACTCAGTTCAATTAACTTCCCCCCTCGCTCCCAATCAACTCAAATTTTACTTATTCTTACTTCAATTCACAGGAGAGGCTAATGTTTGAGGCTTATA